TATACACACACAAAAAAAAAACAAAAACAAAAACAAAAAGAAAAACAAAACAAAAATGGAAAGAAATAAAATGGCAACAAAAACAGAAGTGTCTTCTTTACATAGGAGTCTTTGATAAATTTCTTATTGACATATTGTTTTAAGACTCGTTGGTCATATGTGCTTCCAAACTAAAATTTCTTCCTCATGGTAAAACTTTCTAATTCCTCTGATCGTTCCAATAATTATCGATTATCCTTCTCATTTATTGTTGTTTGTTCTCCTTGTGACTTAGAAGTATTGTTTGAACTTTAGCACTATTGTAACTTGTAAAATACTATATTTTCTCCAATATAAGAAAAAGAAAAACATATACAAAAAAATAAATAAAAATTGACAGATTGCTTTATTGATATGGAATACAAACACAAAAATTCTATGTAAAGCAATTGTTTTGTCTATATAATAAGTAAAACATATAACTAAAAAACTTGGAAAGGGGCTTAAAAAATAAATAAATAAAAATAAAGCAATGGCAATCTCTATTGTATCATATATACCAATTTCTAACTTTCTTACGGAATGGCCATCTAGGCAGTACCAATCTAACTTTCTAATGAAATGACCATGGAGGTGATGGTGACAAACAAGGGCAAGTTTTTTGGGAGAGAGATATAGTCATATTTTTATTTTTTTATAAGAAGCAGTGTGAGATTGAAACAAAAATTTACCTATATATAAGGAGGGAAGAGAGACATGTGAGAGAGGAAGTCATATGAAAGGAGGTTATTTTAATTGAGATAAAGGAAAGAGGTGATAAGAGAGTTTTAAAATTTTTAATTTATCTAAAGTGATAATTATATATTTTTTCTTATACATTTCATGTGAATTTTTGTCTCTCCTCTATTTTGGCTAGAAAAAACAGGGTGAGAGCGGAAGAAGTGCCACCTCATTTTTTTAATCTCTCAAAATTATGAGAAATTAGGATTAAATAATTGATAGTCTGTGAGCTTCCACTACATTTACTTATATAGATAGTATAGATAGATAGATAGATTAATATGAGTGAATGAAATGGTTAACAGTATCCGATTAACTTGAATTTTCACAAATATATTATGCTTAACGTACTCTAGAATATAAACGATACAAATTATCAAAATAAATCCCAAAATAAATTCATTTAATTACACAACAGTCGCTCCAAATCCCACAAACTAAAGCAACCCCCAAATACTCGCGCATGGTTGGACAAATTCCTATTTTTAACAGTGTTTGATAGGGTGTTCACAGATTCAATTAGAATAATCTGGCTTTATGATAAACAATAATTTAATATCGGTAATTCTAATTCTATGAAAATTAAAATTGTAAACAAATTATTAAACTTATATTATCAAATTAAAAATAAACAAAAAAAAACAAAATTAAACACTGCTGGAAAATCGACTTTTAGCGGCGTTTCAAAAACGCCGCTATAAGTACTAAAAACGTCGCTAATTGTTTTTGTGACGTTTAGTACCAAACGCCGACGACGCGGCCGTCGCTATAGCTTTATGGCAAACATAATTCGAGCCACGTAACAAAATAAATCATAAATTTTTAATTTTGTCAATTTAAATCTTATATTTTAGATTTATTTTCAATTTAAACCATTTGCACATTTTTGTTAAGTAATATCAATAGAAAAATTGATATTTTAGACATTAAATTCATTAAAAAAATGTTATTTTAGACATTTTATTAATGCTTATGTTGAGTTTAATGATTAAAATATTTTTTTTGTTGGTTTTATTTAACGAAAATAGACAAATAGTTTAGATTAAAAACAAATCAAAAAATAAAGATTTAAATTAATAAAATTAAAAACTTACGATTTATGTTATTACAAGACTCAAACTCTAAATTTTATTTATAATTGCCCAAAAAAACTATACAAACCGATTTGATTTGGAGAGGCTGCAATGATCTTTTAGAAAGTGATGAGTGTGGTACATGACAAAAAAAATATATTAGTAAATGTATTTTTTACATTTTAACATATTAACCCATCATTTTTGCACTTTATTCAAAAAGTGTGACATTAAATGTATATTTTAAATATATTGTTTTGAGAAGTAGGTTTAATTAACTTTTTTATTTTTTAAAATGTATAAAATAGAGTGGTGATATGATTTTAAAAAAAAATAAAAATAAAAAAAACTACTTTTAATCGAATTGCCAAAACAAACAAAATAAGAAAAAAATAATAAGTATATTTTTGACATTTTAACATACAAACCCATCATGTTTTACACATCAATTCAAAAAGTGTGTCATTTAAATGTATATTTTTAAATATAAGGGTTTAATATTTATCAACTAAATCATATCAAAATAAAGCATAAATTATACCTTGATTAAATTAAATAACAAGAAATTGTAATTGAACACAATAAGCACCAAAAAGCAATTTTATTTGGTTGGTTTCAATGTTTTTTTTTCAACAAATATATATAGATTAGTTTGACAGAAAATATATGTCAAACATTATGTTTTAAAATATTTTATCCAAAAACATTCATACGAAAACAATGAGTATTTTGTTTTTTGACCAGATTAGATATTATTTTTTGTAATTAAAAAACACATATTTTCAAAAATCAACCAAGTAAAGTGCATAAATACAAATTAATGTGTTTAAATTTTGAGTAGTATTACTCTAGCTACAAAATTATACCTATTTTTCAAATTTAATGATGTGACGATCTATTGTATAATCTATGAGGCAACTCGTTTTCTCATGTATTTTCTATTCATCATCCAATTATCTCATTTATACATCATTAGATTTAGATAATGAGTTTGTATCTTATTTTCCTTCAAGTTTTGGCTATTTGGACTAAAGATTCAATTTTGAAACCTTTGGGACATAATAACAATAATAATTTATATTACTCTTATCTATTTGTTCACGTAGCAACTAATTATCAATTCCTGCGGTCATTGCTACTGTTGATTTTTTTAATTTTTTTTTAAACGATGGTTAACCGATGCATGAGAATAGAGAAATTACAAATATAAAAATAAAAAATAAAAATGTAAGAGTAGAACTATCATAAATGTCATTTTCACCACATATATTTACCCAAAAAAAACTTGTCTTTTGGCCTCAAAATATTTGACATTATCCATAACACTGGTATGATCTCCTCTTTGTATTTATCCCCATTTTTTTCCTAATTAATTAATTAATTTATTTTTTAAACAAAAATGTACCCTAGGCCAGTTTGAAAATTTGACTATAATGTTAGAAATCCCAAAAGATTTATCAAAATTTCTATCAAATGTTTCACATGGGTGTAGGACCCACATGGTGTAGGTCTCACACCCATGTGAGATTTTTGATAGAAATTTTGATAAATCTTTTAGGATCTCTAACATTTTCGTTTTACCTATTAATCTAATTAAAAAGGTTATGTTCGAGATGATAATCGACTTTTTTTTATGTAATTGGTTTGATAATTATGAAAAAAAATTATAATTTAAATATAACATTTATTTTATTAATTATTTTAAAATATTTTATTTTTATTGACTATTTAAAACAAAATCTGACCCAACTTGCCAAACACCCCCATTGTTTGCTGTTGGTGTTATGGAGGCCAAGGGGCCAGTGGCCCGTTAACACCAAAAGATGGGGTGGTGGTGGGTAGATCGGGGAAAATGGGCCCAACATCACCTGGCTGGCACCCATGCTGTTCGGAACAAAAACAGAAACAAACTGTTCAATACAACCAACTACTATTGTTAGCATTAATCCCATTACTAACGATCTCAACAAATTAAAAACACAATAAACTCTTTATCACAATTTGTATTAAAATCTGGAAACACTAAGGTTAACATTAACCAAAGCAGTAACAATCACAACAAATCTAAACACAATAAAGTCTTTATATAAATTGCCTCCTTTCAAAGTCTTTTACATCTAAGACTTTGACACCGATTATTATTTATGATTCAATTGACGGATTTTCTTTTAATAATTTCATCACCAATTAATTTAGGAGTGGTAGTTTACATGACTCATATGTTTAGTCCAATATCTCAACTGATGTGAATCATGGCCACATCTTGACCAGTATTGATGCGAATCATGATCACATCTTGGTCAGTCATTTCATACCACGTAACTCATCAATCTAAGATCATGCCACATGATTTAACTAAAAAAAATGCATATTATCACAATTATTAATATTAATATATGCATTTTCAAATCATGGGTCAAGACACATCAACCCCATGTAATTATATTTTGAGTAATGTTAGAGATTTTAAAAATTTTACCAAAAATTTTATCAAATATAAACATTTAGTAAATTTTTTGAAATTTCTAACAATTTTGTTATATTTTTTTATCATAACACAGCTGTGCAATTACCAAGCAGTCATCAATTTGAAATTGTATTCCTACACTAATGATTCGGATTGTTATTACTATTGTTTTAAGGTAGTTTTGATTGATTTAAATAAATATATTTTTTTATTTTTTATAAAAAGATATGTAGTATGGTAAAAATGTGATATGACCTAAATAAAAAGTAATGTGATATAAATAAAATAAAAATTAAAAAATATACTAAAATAGTGCATCTCAAACAAATCTTGTTTTGAAAAGTTAGTTAAAAGTCGACTTTTTGAATTTTTTTTTTTAAATGTATAAAAAAATAAAGATAAGAGGTGATTTTTAACCAAATTCTCAAATTAAGCATTAATGTACAAATGTATTTATTAGTAAAAGACATTTATTATCTTTTCAATTTGTATGAGTAAGGGGTTGTTTAGGATATATTTTTTGACTTTTTTTTATAAAAAAAAATGTACAAAAAAAAAATACAATCCAAATAAATAAACATATTTTAATTTATATCAAATACTGTGTTAATATCATATATATTGTCTTTCCATTGGATGGAGCTTCAAGTTCTAAAATTTTGAAGTCCCAATCAAAACCAAGTAAACAGTGAGAAGCAGTGACAGTTGGGATATTTATGGCAAAAAAACAGGGGCATATTGGAAGTAAAATTTGGGGATTTGTATATCTCTGCTCTCTCCCTCCCTCCCTCCCTCGGCGGTCACATGCAAATTCATTAGTGCTTGCCGGCCCAGGTCGGGTAACACTAAATATAAAAGGCGTCGCTGGTTACAAATCTCTCTCTCTCTCTCTCTCTCTCTCTCTCTCTCTTATCTACTCTTTCTCTCTCTCTACACTGTATGTATGTACGTACATACTTGAATCTGATTAGAGTGAGAGAAGATTGAAAGCATTGTGACTACCGTTTACTCGATTGCTTCTGCTTCTGTGGTAATCTCTTTGCATCTATAATTACTTGTTAGTTTATTTTTTATTTTTTATACTGGTTTTTGTGAAGTCTGTACTTCAAATCAGTCTAGAAAGAAGATTTCGATCGGATTGAAGTGTATATAGTTTCACTTTGAAGATTAAGATCTCTCAATTAATGACAATTTTTTGTAATGCTGATTTGATAATCCTCACTACAATTAATTACAATATTTTTTTTTTGTTTTTTGATGTTATTAATCATATAGTGCAGAAAGAAGCTAGAATGTTTTGTTTCTTTGATTTTGGTGGAATTCGAGCAAGTTTAGGGTTTTGAATTAGGTCTGGATTGTTGGTCATTTTTCCATAATAATACATGAAAACAAAAGAAGATAGGAAAAATTTCTTTTGGTGTAAAAAACCACTCCAACTTTTTATCTCAAAACACCATATCATTTTCCATCACAAAACCTCTCTAAAATTATTTTTCCAAGTTGGAGGGGGAAAAGTCTCTATTTATACAAGTAGGGAATCCCTAGCCATGAAGGCTATACATCAAGGGCCATCAAATGCCATCAACTCTAGCCATTAGGACTAGAGTTACAAAGGTTCAAAACTCCAAAACCATTATATAAATGATAATGTGTATATAATGAATAAGTTTTAAGAATTAAACTAGATGGGTTGTAAAATGGATACGGGTGTTGGGTAACAATCCGATCTAAGCCCAATCTCAAACACATACACAAACTGAGCCCAGCATAGAGCTCAAGCCTAGGTCTAAGTCCAAGTCTAAGACCAAACTCAGCACATGCACAAGTACAAGTCTAGGCCCAATCTAAACCAAGACTAAGTCCAAATCTAAACCCAATCTTCTCAGTTAAGAGAATACAAAACCACTTAAACCCACCTCAACCGGTGGTTGGGTCCCATTTTAATTTCAAATTAAAGTTGCCAAAAGGCAAAAATCCATTATTTTCCAACATGGATTGGGGATGTTTTCATGGCACATTGGTCACTGTCCAAGAGAGTCGGTAATTTTAGGGCCCTGGTTTCTATGACTATTGTATTCACACTTCACTATTATGTGTTGCGGTTCTATGGTCTTGTAACTTACTAGTGTTGTTGCTCAACATGCGTCTTTGTTCATGGTTATATATTTTTATACATTGGCTTGGCAATTTCAATATGTAAAATGGTGTCATTGCATCCAACGCATCATGATATTGGTTATACATATCTTTGCAAGATCAGAGGGGAAACTTTGTTGTGCATATGTGCGTTGTGTTTTGGTCATACAGGCCGTCCTTGACCCCTTTTTTGTGTTTGCAACTAATTTCTAAAGATGCGCACCTAAAAAATATGTGTATGTACGGTGTATGGCTGATGAATTTGTTATATTTTTGGAGTGGAAGAACAAGTTATGGTTAAACATAGGAAGAGGAGCTATCAACATGCGAAGTAGGCAAAGTAATTGTAAGGGGAGGTGTGAAACTATGATAATGATTTTGGCTATGGACAATTTCATCAAGGTGGGAGGGTTTATTAAGAAATTATTGCCCCTTGATATGGAAAGATGGATAATTCACATCTGAAGCTAGGAGATTCAAGATGCTGCTACTAGAGTGGACATCTTATTACAAGATCTTAAGTAGGAATAAGATAATGACAATAGGCTTTCAGATGCTCAAATAGAAGCATAGTGGTTGCAAGTAAAGTCAAATAGTTATGCATACTATGACCTATATGTGAATTTGTAAAAGTAGAATATAATTTGACAAATTTTCAACATTTAGATGGAAAATTAGAGAAATGAGCATTGTTCGATTCATTCAGGATAGAATATGCTTAAATAATTATTGTAAAAGAGAAATAAATAAAATGATGGATAAATATATATATATATATATATATTGATGGCTAAGAATAGGTCACTCCCATCCCTGCTTTTCTTTGGCTAATGAGTAACAACAAGAATGTTATTCTCTAGGATTTGCTTCTCCGAATTTCTACTATTAACAAGAATATTATGTTCCTCCTTCCTTTTCCAATACAATTTACTTATTTGAAAAACAAAGATGCATGTGTTAAGATAAATAGCATCATCTGTTTTTTTGTCTATATTTGATGGATGGTGTTTTTAATTAAAGCAAATTGGACTGCAGAATGAACCCTATATTCTCATCTGACTATCCGAGTTCTCAAATAGTGTCTATTAAGGCTATGTCATGTCCTGAGATGAATGTAAAATTAGGGTAACATGATTCATCTCAACAGGGAGCTGAGACTTCAGTGATGCTGGATGTCAACCTGGTGATGTATGTAGTTGTTGTACCTTGCTTGAGTTTATAGTGCATACTTCTTTTGCTTCCTTGCGAAACTTGTATGGCATTATCTTTCATGGGCTTATCCAGCATCCAACATAGATAGCTTGATGATTGTGCAGCCAGAGAGAGTTATCTTACATGGTATAAGAACTGGAACTGTTCAGTTCAGAACGATCCTCTGTAAATTATTTTCTTCGTGTTTCAGGCTTTTACCTCCTTCAGTGATGTTGGGGAATGCTCTGAGAGATCTCAATACACTACCTGCGTCTGAAAGGAAAAATGAAAGCTCCAGTAAGGGGAGCTTTATTAAACCTCATGCTGAGCATGGAACTCTTGAAGAAAAGCAGAGGAAAAACACTGCCTCCTTGATTGAAACTCCAGTCAATGGAGATGAAAGTGTGAAATCTGGGGTACAGTTGGGAAGCTCAGAAGTAGAATACATTGAATCTGTGAATTTGAAAAAAGTAGAAGATGTGGACACAAGTCTCAAGGTAGGAGTATGTTTGTTGATATCTCCTCATGATGCTTGGCTCGAGCTTTTGAAGTATACTGAATCTGATTCTGATGAATTTAATAGATATTTGGTTATGGTGAACTTCTCATTGATGTCCATACATTTCTTTTTTTGTTTATTCAGACACTTTTGGCTGGGTTAGACTCTAAAGATTGGGTTTTGGTATGTGAGGCACTCAATAATGTACGCCAGTTATCTAGATTTCACAGGGAAACAATTGTCAGCATGCTGTAAGTCTCAATTTCTTTTTTCTGATGATCTGATTAAAGAAGTGGGGGACAATGTTCACATTTATAAATTCATCCTCATATATATATATATATATATTATTTTATTTGTCCTGTTGATTGCAATCACATTTTGATGAACAGGGAGAATGTGATCCCTCTAATTGTGAAATCTTTGAAGAATCCAAGAAGTGCAGTATGTAAGACTGCAATTATGACATGTGCTGATATTTTTAGTGTGTACGGTGATCACATTATTGACTCATTGGATCCTCTGGTAACATATTTTCATTGAATTTCTGCTTCTTGTTACATGCTTTGATTAATGTCCCTTTTCTTAATCTAAATCTAAACTAATGCTAGTTATACTGTATCATGTCTAGCTTGTGCAGCTTCTTCTCAAGGCTTCACAAGACAAACGATTTGTATGTGAGGCAGCTGAGAGAACTTTAGTAGCCATGACTGTTTGGGTTTCCCCCATTTTGTTGTTACCGAAGTTGCAACCTTATCTTAAGAACAGGAATCCTCGAGTTCGAGCCAAGGCTTCAATGTGCTTTTGTCGAAGTGTTCAACAACTGGTAAGAATTGTACATTCAGTTTTTCCCTTTGCCTTTTACTTTCCTGCCTTCTGGTCAGTTTAGATTGTTTTCCACCATTGTTAACCCTGTTTTGTTGTTGACTTACCCAAGTAAGATCTTATTCTTTATGCCCCACTCAGATCTTGAAAAGAATTGGGAGGAAAGAGAAAAAACTCCTCAAGTCTCTTGTTGATGCATCATATCTCTTCATATTCTGTTATGGAGCAAAGCCTATTGTGTTCTGCATGTCTTCTTAACTCAATACCATTAATGCAAACAATAACTTTTTCCTATGTGATGTCTACAATGTTGGGATTGTTACAGATTTGCTTTATTGAGAACCTCTTTTTCTTGTGTTGGTATTTTGATGCTAATATTTACCTTATACTGCCTTTGTATTGGTATTTTGATCTTATTATTTACTTTATGTGCTCTTTTGTTGTAGTGTATCAAGGTTTTGCTGTGAGACATTTTTTTTTTCATTTCTTTTTGTGAAATTATGTTGCATTTTCAAGAAAGAAAAAAACACTTGGTAGCAGTAGAGCAGTACTCATAGTGACAAACTAGTATTCATAAAGCTGGAGAGATGGCCCAATATTTTCCAGTGAATCTTGACCGATGGGCTTTCTCTATTTAATATATAGTGGGCTTCTCTACCCTTCTCGATGGAGTATTATTAGTCATTGTGTCTTTTGTGAGGAAAAAAAAAGTGAGTTCTTATTTTTTTAATTATTCACTGATTCTTTTCCACTTTTTGCATTGATGTTACTAGTAGACCCTCTATTTTCTTTGTACTCTCTCTGCTTGTTCTTGAAGTCTCTGTTTCTTTGTACTTTTGTTTTTGTTTTTAATGGTGCATGCTGTACAGGGAGTGGAGGGAATCAGAGCATATGGGATTGACAAATTGATCCAAATAGCTGCATCTCAGCTTAGTGACCAGCTTCCTGAATCAAGGGAGGCTGCTCGTGGCCTTTTGTTTGAACTCCAAACTGTGTATGAGAAGTGTCATGTCCCATCTCAGACTGCAGCCTCTGAGGATGAGGATTCAGAGAGGGACATGGGTTCGTGGGAGCACTTCTGCAAGTCAAAGCTCTCCCCGCTAAGCGCTCAAGCTGTCCTTCGTTTGACTGCTATTCCCGAAGGTCTTGTTTTGGGTTCGTAGCATCATGAAGAGAGCTTTAGCGAGTAATGTCTCGTTGCGTCCCTTTTGCCTTTGTTTTGGTTTGGTTCATTATATTTTACTTGTAAACACTGTCACTTTGAGATTGTTTCAAATGGCGGTTGGGCTATAAATTCTGTAGTAACTTTCGGATAAGATTTTTACTGTTAGATACCATTGCATCATTTGTGGAACTATGACAGTAGCTGTCGATATTCATTTGTGCATTTCTTAGACTCCAATATTGATTTTTTGCCTACTCAATTATAATGTCTTTAACTTTTTCTTAATCATACATAAATATCCAATTTATTTTTTCTTTGATTAATGTTTTTCTTACCGACACTGATAGCCTAGCAGAGAATTATAATGCAACTTTAACGTCACCATTAAAGCTGATCCATTCACCAAACGATTTTGATGTGCCTTTCTGTAAAGGACGCGGTATTCTGTTCTCAATTTATTTTATATTGTATTATACTACAGCATAATACAAGTTGAAGGAATATGATTATATTATAAAGGTGTTTGGGAAGGGCTTTTTTGGGTTTTTTTGGGTTAAAATTTACAAAATAGGCTAAAATAGTCTATAAGACAAAATGTCACATCAAATTTATAATCATTTTACTTTTTCGCTCACAAATATCACATCCAACTACAAAAAAATTCAATTATCTTCTCAAGCATAAAAATTTTAACCTACTAAAATAGTCAAAAATTAAAATAGCATACTAAAATAGCAACTTTCTAAACACCCACTATATAAGCTAGGGAAATGATAATGACACATTAAAATGTTGGTGCAATGTACATTTGTGAGAAATATATTGTGTATAGAATTAGGGAGGATTGTATTGTGTATAGAATTAAAAAAGATCATGCTATAACTATTTAGTTGTAATTTCTTTTTCGTATTTTTCTTTTTCACTCATAGGTTTAGGGTTATATAAACGGGTGACCTTGTAAAGATATACAATTGAATATACAGAAAATCATTCAGAAAACTTACATGGTATCAGAGCCAAAACCCTAGAAATTGTTGCTCTTTCTAAGTCGTAAGTTATGGGTGATCTTCTCCCCCAACTGCGATATTGAAATAGGTTCTTGACTGATCTCTCTCTGGTTCGCATTACGACATCGTCTTCGCTAATTGGAGTCGAGTCGTCTAATCTTTCTAGTCACGATCGTGTTCGCTTGAACTCACTCGTTCGAACCTTGGTTCACGCAATTGAAGTGGTGGTGATTTGCCTCACTCGGTCGATCTCTGCTTTGCCTTGCTCTGTTTATACCTATTTGTCTCTCTGAGTTCGTGGCTTTGACTCTCTCAGTACTGTTATTTGGGTCAAAACTCTTATTTATAGTTTGGCCCAATTGTTAGTCATTATTATATTTTCACCTGTGAATCTTTGATTTATTATAATGATAGACACCAAAATCCAAACAATCAGATGTAAGCTTACTGGTGCCAATTATGCTTATTGGGCTAGTGTCATAAAGAATTTCTTTCTTGGTAAGAAAAAATGAAGCTATGTTTTTGGTTCTATTCCTCATCCATTGGACCCGAAACAAGAAGGATATTTGACTTCCTGTGACACTTGGGATTGTGATAATACCCAAGTTCTAACCTGGTTTCATAATTATGTGGATGACTGTATTAGAATGATGTTTTCCAAATACGGTACTGCCAAGGAGGTGTGGGACTATTTATTGGGTGCGTATCAGCAGTCCAACTTTGCCATGTGATATGAGTTAGAAATAGCTATTCAGAGTGCTCGTCAATAGGATCAATCTATTCAGGACTTCTACATAGAGATGATAGGCCTCTGGGATCAGTTGGCTCTCATGGAACCATCTAGCCTTAAGGCACTAGACGCTTATGCTGAGTTTCGGAAACCAAGGTCGTTTAGTGCAGTTCTTAACGGCTCTCTCCATTCAGTATGAGGTTATCCGTGGCGACATACTACATCGGTCTCCTCTCCCTCCTATAGATGCTATTTTTCGTGAGCTTCTCTCTGAAGAAACCCGTCTTAAGACAGCCATTCAGATTCTATCTCTATTTGTCTTCTTGGCTCCTACTCAACCTCCTCTATTGTCGAACCCCTCATTTCATCAGCTTCAGGCCACTGCAAAGACCAAGAAGGGGCCTCCACCATTAGATTAGTGTGCTTTCTGCCATCAGAAGGGTCATTGGAAGTACAATTGTCCCAAGAAAGGACGTCTGTCTTCTCAGCAGTCTTAGTCCCGAGTACCAGCTCAGTGTTCTTTCCGACCTCCCGCCACTTATACTGCATCCCCTCCGGCTCTAGGTCCTGATTTGGCTTCCTTGAGTTCTCAGGTTGCTTAGCTTCAGCAGATCTTGTCTACCTCTCAGTCATCTTCATCTGTCTCCGCTCTCACCTCTCTTCATATAGGTTTGCTTGGGCCATCTTTAGGTATCCCTTCCTCTGTCTAACTTTTTGATTCTAGTGCCTCTCATCATATAACTGCTCATCTTTCCTTAATCTAACACTGTATCCCCCATCCCTCCCCTATTACTATTAATACTACTAATGGGTCTGGTATGTCTGTCCTATCTGTTGGGTCTGTTTTATCCTCTATCATGTCCGCTATTACTATTCCCTTTGTTCTTTCTGTTCCTCAACTGTCTGTTAACTTGCTTTCTATCAGTCATCTTGATACTTTTGGTTTTGATGTTATCTTTTCTTCTTCTGTCTGTTGTGTGCAAGATCGAGTGTCTAAGAAGCAGATTGGAACCGGCCGTAAAGTTGGAGATCTCTATGTGGTGGAAAGTCTGCATCTTCCTCTGTCTACTTCCCTCATTACACTTTCATCTTTTCAGTTAGATTCTTAGTCGAGTCAGTTTTATTTATGGCATTCTCACTTAGGTTATTTGTCTGTTAACCGTTTGCGGTCTTTAGCTCAGTCAGGATTGTTAGGTAAAGTTTCTCCTAGTCAAATTAATGAATGTCGAGAATGTAAACTTGTTAAAATAATAGTTTTACCTTTTAATAACAGTACTTCTATTTATGTTTCCCTTTTTCCTCTTGTCCATATTGATGTCTGGAGACCTTCTCATGTTCTCACTAAAGGAGGTTCTGCATACTACATATCATTTGTTGATGATTGTACCCGCTATACCTGGGTTTATCTTATGGCTCAAAAATCTGACTTCTACCAGATATATCGTACCTTTCAGTCTATGATCACTACACAGTTTGGGGCCACAATTAAAATACTTCGTTCTGACTTGGGTGAAGAATACTTTAAAACTAAATTTTGTGAGTATTTGGCCAAATTGGGCACCATTAACCAAACCTCCTGTACTGATTCCCCTGCCTAAAATAATCATGCTGAGCGTACACATTGTTATCTCCTTGAGACAGCTCGATCTCTCATTCTCTCTGCCTTTGTTCCGGCACCATTCTGAGGTGAGGTAGTTCTTACCGCTGCTTTCCTTCTTAATCGCATGCCTACTCCCCTACTCTCTGATCAATCCCCTTATCAGGCTCTGTATTCCCAATCTCTCAATTATTCCCTCTTGCGTGTCTTTGGGTCTGCTTGTTTTGTCTTCATTTCCTGTAAAGATCAGACCAAATTCAGTGCCCGGTCTGTCTTGTGTGTTTTTCTGGGCTACAGTCTTACTTAGAAAGGCTACCGCTGTTACAACCATGTCTCTCCTCACCTCTATGTCTCCTGTTATGTTGCTTTTCTCGAATGTTTGTCTTACTTTCAGTTTTCCCCTCTCACTGCTCCCGTTTCCAAAGAGGATTTGGTTCACATTGACCTATTTCCTTCTGAGGTCTTATCAGATGAGTATATCGCCACTATTCCTCCTAAGGCCATTCCTATTTCTCCGTCTACGTCACCTATGGCTCCTTCTTCGCCTCTGTTGTTGGTCTATTCTCGTTACAAGGCTCCCGCACCACTAGTTGTCTCTACTCTTGTTACTGCTTTTTCTGTTTCTGACGACTCTGATCCTACTGTACACCGCTATCCTCCTCATAAACGTTGTCCTCCAAACAGGTTGGATTGGTCTCATACATGTTTTTCTGCTTCTTATCGTATTTTTTTGTTTGCTATTCACTCTTTTTCAGAACCTCAGTCTTACATTGAGGCCTATCAGGATCCTCATTGGGTTCAAGGTATGGAGGATGAGTTGTCTGCTTTACAGAAAACTAGTACTTGGGAGTTGGTTCCTTTGCCTGCTGATAAGAATCTAGTTGGTTGCAAATGGGTCTACAAAGTCAAGACTCATTCTGGTGGTTCTCTTGAGTGCTACAAAGCTCGTCTGGTTGCCAAAGGTTCCTCATAGAAGTGTGGTATTGATTATGAGGAGACCTTCGCTCTTGTTGCAAAGATGATTACTGTTCATACTTTGATCTCTGTCGCTGCTATTCGTTCTTGGCCTCTTAATCAGATGGATGTTAAGAATGCTTTTCTTAATGGCCATCTCACTGAGGAGGTTTACATGCATCCTCCTCGTGGCCTTCACCATTCCTCTAGACAGGTTTGTCGCCTTTGGTGTGCTCTGTATGGTCTGAAGCAACCTTCTCGTGCTTGGTATGATTGCTTTCAGACTGCTGTTATTGAGATTGGGTTTCATCCTTATGCCTAGGACTCTGCTTTATTTCTTCTCCACACCTCAGCCGAATTTGTTGCCTTATTACTGTATGTGGATGATATGATCATCACTAGCTCTGACTCTTCTACTATCTCTGAGGTCTAGCAGCATCTTTTCCGTACCTTTGAGATGAAGGATCTTGGTCCTTTGCGGTTTTTTCTTGGTATTGAAGCTGCTTTTTCTCCAAAAAGCTATTTTCTGTCTCAGGCTAAGTATGCTCATGAGGTCATTCACCGTGCTGGTCTTACTGATACTAAGGTTTCTGATACACCTACTGAGCTTAATGTGAAGCTCAACTCTACTGATGGTGTCCCATTGCATAATCTCACTTTATATCGCAAGCTTGTGGGTTGCTTAGTTTATCTGACGGTTACTCATCCTGATTTTGCCTATGTTGTGCATGTGGTTAGCCAATTTGTTTTTGCTCCTAACTATCCACATTGCGCTGCATTGGTTGGGATTCTTCGTTATCTCCGAGGTACTATCTTTCAGGGTTTACTATTATCCTCTACTTCCTTTCTAGATTTGGTGGCCTATGCTGATTCTAATTGGGTTGGTGATGTTACTGATCGCAAGTCCACGTCTGGTTTCTGTATGTTTCTTGGCGATTCCTTGATCTATTGGAAAAGCAAAAAACAAACTA